TAACACCAAATTTAACACACCTGCTCCCCATTCACACCTGAGACCTTGTAACACTAATGAGTCACATGACACCGGGGAGAGAAAATGGCTAATTGGGCCCAATTTGGACATTTTCACTTAGGGGTGTACTCACTTTTGTGGCCAGCGGTTTAGACATTAATGGCTGTGTGTTGAGTTATTTTGAGGGGACAGCAAATTTACACTGTTATACAAGCTGTACACTCACTACTTTACATTGTAGCAAAGTGTCATTTCTTCAGTGTTGTCACATGAACAGATATAATAAAATATTTACAAAAATGTGAGGGGTTTACTCACTTCTGTGAGATACTGTATGTATGTATATATATATATATATATAAATTCAATTTTCATCTAAGTGTGTGAATACTGCTTGAATACATCTCTTTTTTTTATTTAGACTGATTAAAATATTGCTGTGGTCAGTAATCTCACATATCACTATTATATAAGGTCCCCGTTTCACCAGCCTTTAAAAAGAAGGCATAGCAAGATAAGGCGATATTTATTGTCGAGTAAGCTATTTACTGATGAGTAGCCTTAATTCAGTAGATCCCAATATTGCTCTGCAGTCTCACCATTAAATCTCTGTTAAAAACTGCTAATGAATAAAATGCCCTGCTCAATGTATATGCACAGTTTAATATACTTAATATTTGACTATTTTCGATGCGCACCCAAACAATATGACAATGGGATACCGGCGCCCCCTGCAGGTCGAAAGCGAAAGCGCAGTTCTTGACCGCATATCCTGTCAGAAAGGGGCTTGTGGGAGGACACGATTTAAAGGAAGCACCAGAGAGCTGCGAGAGAGGTACCGCGTGTTTATCATTTCCTAACTTGTTTGTAACTTTTATCACTGATACATGTTAGAACCAACAGGCCTAACTATAATGCTTATTAGAACCAAAGCCTTTTTTGACTTTTTTTTCATCTGGCTAGCGTTATGCCACACGTTTAAAATTACTAAACGCAATTAATAACTTTAATACACTGTAAATATGTATAATTTAAATAATTGATAACTTGTTTGTGATTCACCCAAGGCTCTTTTTCCGTGAATTTAACCGTTCACGAACAGTAGCCTACACAACAAGAAAGATAACAATACAGTTAAAAAAAAAAATTAAAATCTAAAAATTACAAACTACACACCTCAGCTATAACGACACGGCGTAGAAGATCGATAACGTTGGAATCACTTTGAGAACGATTTGTTTTCCAGTTGATTACCTGCAAAAAAAACAAAAACAAACAAACTCGTCAAAGCGCTCTGCAGTTGTTCACAGAACTTAACGGAAGCTCGCCAAGAATAAACATCGTCCGTTGGTGTCGACGTTAATATAGTTATGATCATATTTATGGTTCTTGGTGTGAATGGGCCTGTAGATGAGACTTTGGACTTTCGTCTGCATGACTATAAGCATGTTTGTATAAGCCGAAGGTTGATGAGTAGCAACAATAGGCAATATAAAAAAAAAAAAAAAATATATATATAT